GATTTAACAGAACGAAATGTATATAATCAGCCCTTGTGCTATCAAATAAATAGCCAGACACAGAGCAGGCATCGGAGGGTTATTTTCTGCTTCTCAATTTCATCATTTTGTCATCTAAACATTCCTACGACCTCTCCTATATACTATGCAGAGTAGGAGTAAGACATTTTCCAAACTTTTGCAAATAAACAATCTTTACTTAAAAACAAAACAAAACAAAAAAAACAAAACAAAACAAAAACCAACCCAGAGAATGTTACCTTCCCAAACTCCTTTTACTTGAGTCCAAGCAGAACAAGAACATTTTGAAAGTAAGTTACGTAACTAATGGTCTTAGCAAATTACGGAGAAACTGTCAAACGGGAACCTAGCTTGCTATGTAATCCTCCACCAAAAACACAGTAAAATATTTTTTTAAAGTTACAAAAACCTACCTACACAATGAAATAGACACAAAGAAAATTTACTGTGAATAAAAAGGACTTAGGGAATTCTACAATGGAGTAATTAATGGAAAACCATCCACTTAATTAATCTTGTAATCTGTGACATATCAATGTTAAAATAAATGTTGTTGTTGTTGTTATGTGCCGTCGAGTCGCTTATGACTCATAGTGACCCTATATACAACAGCTGTGAAGTCTGTCCTTAGCCAGTCTCACTGACTCTGACACTCCAACACCCACTGCCCCAGATACTGTATCAATCCATCTCATCCAGGGGCTCCTTCTTCAGCACTGTCCCTCCACCCTTCCAAGCATTACGTCCTTCTCCAAGGACTGGTCCCTCCTGGCCACGTGCTCAAAATATGTGAAATGGAGCTCCAAAATTCTATCTTCTAACAGCAAATTTGGTTTCGCCCCTTCCAGGACAGAGCTATTTGTTCTCTTGTCTGTCCATGGTATGTATATTCAGGACTCTTTTCCAGCACCACAACTCAAAGGCATTGATTGTTCTTTTATCATCCACACAACACCACCATCACCACCACCAAAAACCCCAATAAAAACATTCCTACCACCTCTCCTAGATATTATGTAGAGCTCACCAGGTGGAGAGGTAGCAAAAGGTAACAAAATTCGGCCTTTGCTGTGTTGCCTCCACACAGGGTCTGCCACACACTGGGGCCCAGTCACAGCAGAGTTTGAAAGGACAGCATCGGGTTGGGCTGACTTTCCTTCCGTTGGGAGCTAACAACAACATATACTTTCTGCAAAGTTCCCTGACAGCATAGTGGTTAAAAACACTCAGATGTTAACTAAAAAGTTGTCAGTTCAAATTCACCAACAGGTCTGAAAGAGAAAGATGTGACAGTCTGTTGGAGAATGTTGGGGAGGAAAGGAGGGCATCTGGCCAGGACAGATTGCCTAGCTGCAGATAAGTACAAGTCTCCCAACGGCCTTTAATACGGTGTAGAGAAAGCTCCATTGTGTTTGGCTGTACCAGCTTGAGAAAAATCGCCACCTGGGAAGATGGCTGCTGCCTCTGTTGAGCTGGGAGTGCTCTGCATGAGGCTGAGGTTCTCCTATCTAATCTGCATGTCTCATGTCTGTAAACCAGCCCTATTCTATCTTCCTGTTTATATGCTCGTACATAAGTGTGCTGCAGCCCCTGGTGAAATTGAGCTGGATTGGCTCTCTGATCCTCTCCTGGAGTGGTGTATCTCCATTGTGCTTACTCCCATCAGAGCATCGCTGTTTGTTGCTGGCAAATAAACAGTAACAACAGCCCATTTTTGTAAAGATGTACAATCTTGGAAACTCTGGGTGAATCCAACTCTGTCCTGTATGGTTGTTAGAAGTAAGACTTGTCTATATAATGGTGGCATTTCTGTCATATTTATTTTTTTTCTCTCCAAGACACTTAATTTTTATGTACTTTAAAGAAAACTTGAAAAGGAGAAATAGTATTTTTTATTAACTTCAATGGGCCTTAAGTCTTCATTTCAAAATGAATGTTTCTTGTGGCTTGAGTCATCTAGAATTCACTCTGGAACTCCAGGTCAATGATGTCATGCCAGAACTGATGCATAGCAGACCCTCTAGCTGATTTTCAGAGGCAGTAAATCACATAAGAGTAGAGCCCCCATCTGTCTGCTGAATCTCGCTGGTGGATTCTTTCAAAAGAAAGGCACTTCCTCTGGGTGAGCACGGAGGGCATGGCCAGAAGTTTCCAGTCAAGGGTTCAGAACACACAAGCAGACAGAAGACCAGTCGTCCTCAGGCTGAACCGACTCCTGGTGATTCTACACATGGCAGATCAGCACTGTCCTCTCTAGGGTTTTTAGTGCCTGTGATCCTTCCTCGCCATCGGTGCCACTAAATCAGTTCCCACTTACAATGACCCTGGACAAGAGAAGGAAAGCCTGCCTCATCCTGCCCACATGACCACTCCCCTGTGCTCAAGGCTGACGTTACAGCTACTACGTCAATCCATCACACTAAAGGATGTCTTTATTTTTATTTTTTAATTTATTATTAATTTCAATAAAAATTTACAGGGACTTCAGATTTACATTCATTCATTGTTGCACTTTTCTCCCCTCCTAAACAAGCCCCCAGAACACTACCCTCTTGGAAAAGTAAAAGAAAAATTCTTTCAGTGTTTTACAATCCCCCCCCCCACACACACACAGGTCCACTCCACTATTCAGCCTTCATTCTGGACTCCCGTCATGAAAAAAATTCCCAATAAAATATCCTTCTTAAATAGTTTTCTCCTTCATCTGTTTCAATGCAGTATACATTATTGAACCCATCTTTCTCAGTCTTACCCCAACCCCAGTGTCAGTCCCATTCTACAACAGTGCAGTATTTGTTCTTTTGTGACTGGGATATTTCACTCAGCATAATGTCCTCTCAGGTCACCCATTTTAAATAATATTGCATAAGTTCCTTGTTTTTCAGTGCAGTGTGGTATTCCTTTGTGTGAATATACCACAGCTTCTCTATCCATTTGTTTGTTGGTGGGCACTTAGGTTGTTTCCAGCTCCTTGCTATTGTGAACAAAGCCACGATAAACATGGGTGTGCATATATCTGCTTGGATGTCAGTTATGGTCTCTTTGGGGTATATTCCCAGTAGTGGAATTGCTGGGTCAAATGGTACCTCTATTTGCAACTTTTTGAGAAAGCACCATACCGCCTACCACAGTGGTTGCACCATTTTACACTCCCACCAACAGTGAATAAGGGTTCCAGTTTCTCCAAAACCTCGCCAGCATTTGTTGCTTGCTGTTCTGTTAAATTTTGCTATTCTGACTGGGGTGAGATGATATCTCATAGTTGTTTTGATTTGTATCTCTGTTAGACCTAGCGATTTTGAACATTTAGCCATCTGAATGTCTTCTTTGGTGAAGTGTCTGTTCACATCCTGTTCCTCTGCTGACCCTCCATGTTTCCAAGAGGGGCTGGTCACTTCTGTCAACTTGTCCAGAGGCTGTGAGAAGATATTCTGATTCAAGACTCCAGGAGAGGGTGGGTTGTCACTGCGTCAATGTGATTCGAGGATAGCCCAAGTGTTCTGAGTACAAACGCTCTGTGAGATTTTTCAAAGCTGTGTGATTTTCAGAGAGCTGACTGCCAGGCCTTCTTCTGAGATGCCTCTGAATGGGCGTATACTACTGACTCTTCAGGAGGTAGCTGTATGCCCAAATATCTGCACCACCAGAGGATTTTCTCTAATGAGGAAAGCCATTAGATTCCATCGAGTTCACTATGACTCAAGGCGAGTCTACGTCCACAGAGGAGACCTTGACCTTCTCAGTGTCATCCTCATAATCCACCCCTCCCAAGTCCACTGCAGTCACTGCATCAGTCCATCTCAATGAGGCTCTTCCTTTGTTTTTCTCTCCCTCTGTTTACAAGATCAACCTCCTTATTCGAGTAAAATGCCAAGGATCCCAGCATATTTATTCCAGAGTCAGAGAAAGTAAAGATAACTCTTGTGCCTTTAACATCTACTATTACTACAAGTTTTTTTAATGGCCTCAAGTCAAGTTTTATCAATCTACCAGAGTTTAATCAGGTCAATCAGTGTAAAGCCAGGAAAGCACTTGTGGTCTAGTGGCAAAAAGCTGCTCTGCAATCACAGAGGCATGCTGTTCGAATCCTCCAGCTGCTCCATGGGAGAAAGATGGGCAATGTTCTGTGCAATTAACTGCCTCTGGAAACCCACCAGAGGGTCAGCTATGGGTCGTTTCTGACTCAATGTTACACAATAACAACAACAACAACAACCACCAGTATTAATGAACATGTGTGATATTAAATGACACAAGACTAAAAAAATTACCAGATACAGACTAAAATGTATACAGAACTAGAGTAAAAGGTTTTTATATTTAAATTTCACCTTTGCTTTGTAGCTCAAAGATGTGTTACAAACTAAAATTGTTTACATTACTGGGAAAAAATGGAATGCCATTTTTGGACACTATATGAACGAAACTGACATCCCAAAATCCAGTATTTTGAAACTTATAATTAGAGTTTTAGCTTTTTTGTCATGTTTACTTAAATATTATGTGTATAGAAAGCATGGATCTTCTAAAGCAAATTTGAATATTGGAAATCCAGGGCTTACATAATTATCTTTTATGGAAGATATTTAAATCTAATTCCCCCCCATGCAAGTTAATGACCTTTCTTGAGCATTGTATGATTAAAGTCAAGAATGATCATTAAGCTGTCATTTTCCCCTTGACCTGTCTATTCTCATCGCGAGCACCCAGCTTTACCACATTTCTCTAATGCTCTAGTTATATCCCCTCCTATTTGTTCTCTGGAATGGAGGAACGCTTTTGTCTAAGACATCCCACTGCCTGACTGATAATCTATGAGGACACAACTCGTGATCCAGAACCACATGGAGTCGGAAGGGGATCATCTAACCGTGAATGATTTATATTATCTGAAAGGTTCACTAAGCCTCATGCCCCTTGTTACTCCCATTTTCATGAAACAGAGCGAAAGGTCAGAGACTGAAAAGGACTCTACTTACATAAGCGTTAAATGTCTGTAGTTAGAGAGTTCCTTGGGAACCAGGGTGAACTGGTTCCCATCCAGATACCTAAAAAAGAAAGCAGGAAAGTTACTGTTTCATAAAGTAGCAGTGGAGCCTCGTTAAATAGTGGACCAGCTTTTCTTACTTGGTGAAGGCAATTTTTCCTGACAATGTCACACCCTAGCTTGAATTGGTTATTGAAGAGACTCAATTTACTGCTCTTGAGTCGGAACAGACTCGTAGCTGACCTTGCATTGGGTTCTGAGACTATAAATCTTGTTTACCTTTCTCCTGTGGAGCTGATGGGAGCTTAACCCTGCCAGAGAGGCAACACTTTTGGGTGAGGATCACAGTTACCTATGGACTACAATCACAGAGAAGTACAGTGAAAATATTGATGTTTGATCTTCCCACGTTCTTTATTTTGTGGACTACTCGGGTTAAATGACAAAATCAAGGAGAGAATGGAAACGGGGGGAAAGGTCTCTGGTTTGTGAAACAAGGCAGAGCAAGTATTGAGCTATACCTGTCTGTGAGTGAGAAGATCCCAGTTAATTCAGTCACTGTCTTTTTTAGTGTGACTTCAGTCTGTTTGTGATCCTGAGGACACAATACCATGAAAGGCTTTGACTGCTAACAGAACTTTGCCGTTAATGGAAAGAACAATGATTACTGCAGAATAGCTATCAGTAAATGGAGTAACTCAAGATGATTTCTAAGGAGACACGGGGGCACTGGACAGAAATAGACTTAAGTGAAATACTTTTTGCACTGGGAAAATCTGTAGTTAGGGACCTCTCCAAATTTTTGAGGAATAATGATATCAGTTTGAGGACTAAGGTGTGTTAGATTTGGGTCACGGTCTTTCCAATTACTTGTTATGTGTCTAAGAGTAGGACAATAAATAAGGATGATAAAAATAAAATGATGCCTTTGAGCTGTGGTGTTGGAGAAGAGCACTGAACATCCCATTGATGGCCAAGACAACAAACTGATCTGTTTTGAAGAGGATGCAGCCAGAGTGCTCTTTGGAGGCAAGAATTATGAGGCTTCACCTCACATATTTTGAGCATGTTGCTAGGAGGTGCTATTCCTTGGACAGGGACATGATACTGGGAAGGGTGGAGGGTTGGCAAACAAGAGGAAGACCCTGTGCAAGGTGGGTTGACACAGTGACTGCTGCAATGGTCTCTTGTGCGTTAGGAAGTGTGAGGATGGAACAGGATGGAACAGGGTTCAGATCTTTTGTTCATAGGGTCACTGTGAGTCATACTCGTATTTGACGGCATCTAACATCACCACCACCACCAACCACCATTCATCTGCTTGACAAAAATTTATTCTAGGTGATTTCTTGGACTATCTCTTAATTGTCCCATGTGTAAATAATGCTGCTTTTGTCAGGTGCCATCATTTCCACAATGACTTACAGGGATCTTAGGAACAACAGATCTGAACCTTGTTCTATCGTACTCCATCTCCATGACCTCTGATAGCTTAAGCCCACTGTTACGTATACAGCACACTTCAATAAACATGATCAATTCACCATAGGCAGATACATTTGTACTTTCAGAGGTCTCTTTGTGTGTCTCTCTAATTACCCCTGAGTCAGAATCGACTCATAGCTGACCCTCAAATTCCTTTTCAGAGGATGTTAACCGCACAGAAGGAGACTGTTGGTTCATCGGGTAAACAATCCAAAAATGGACATGTTGTTGTTGTTGTTATGTGCCGTCGAATCGTTTCCGACTCATAGCGACCATGCATTAAAAAAAACTCAGCTACAATTTCCAATCTCCATATCAACACCAGTAGTCGAGAAGTTGCATAAGATAACAACCTCTGACAAACAATCTATTTCAAAATGAAAACTGTTATATGAAAGTTGTCAAAATATTGGATTCAGAATCAGGCACACTTCATACACCTACTCAAATTTTTTCAACTTTTTTCTTCCCCTTTCAGTTTTTTATTACTACCACTAGAGGGAAGCACAATCACATACACGTTAGCTTCACACAAACACTGGAGAATTTTGACTCAGTGATTCTATAGGACAGAGGACAACCAACTGTCCCACTCGGTTTCTAGTACCCTAATCTGCATGGAAGCAGAATGTCCAATTTTTCTCTCTTGGAGAAGCTGGTGACCTTGTTTGGTGAGCAATCTATTCATCCAACCAGAGTACTACCAGGGTTTCATACACCTAGCACTCTCTCTCTCTATCCCAGCAAACCTTGTAGCATAAAACCAAAAGGACACAGAGAGTGAAATATCAGTGTTTACATTTAAAACAGCCTAGGAAGAAATTACATGGAAATGATTAAGAAGTAATGGATGCCATCTGTTCAAACTTGCCCCTCAGTAGATACTTTTTTTTTTGTCAAAGGCTTTGTAACACTAAAGTAATACAATAGAATACACACATACATTTTGTCTACTATGTGCAAGTATGTTACTGAAGAAAGAATCCAGCTGAGTTGGTTTGGTTCTAAGAAAAAGCTCTGTGTGGGAGGTAAAACTCCCATTCACAAAAGATGAGTTAATATTTTCCTCATTTCTAGAACATGTTTTCTACGGGGAGAGGGGGGTGGTTAAAAAGAATCTGCATTGAAATAGATTGAAGATCAGATTCTCTGATGGAAGAAGCAGATAGGCAGCAAAGCCAGGGTGTGAATAAAGCAGTCTCTCAGATGTATTTTAATATGGGGATGCTTTTTTTTTTTTTAATTAGTCGCTGAAGCTGAGTGAAAGCGCTAAGGCATGGGGCCAGTTGAAATGGTAGCAGGAATTCAGAATCAATGAAACTCACTGTGAGTTATGCGTCCAGAGGCTGGTGTGCTCCTGGGCCCAGTGCTTTGCATACGGGATGTTCTGCAGGCATCCGGCATCCCAAAGAGGCTGAAGGTGCCCAAGTGATTGAGATGCAGCTTGTGGCACGTATTTTGTACATAAAGACATTAGTTTTGTACTTAAACCAACATGTGAGGTTAGTTTATAGGGTTAAGGGGGAAAGCCAAACCCCAAAACTATGTCTTATCCTCATTATTTGCATAAAATATGAACCCTGTGTACATGTAATGAACTACAGTGGTGAGGTACAGAGCATGTTGTGCTGCTAACTGAGAGGTCAGTGGTTTGAATCCACCTGCTGCTTTTTGGGAGAAAGACCAGCAGCCTCCTCCTGTCACTATTCAGAGCCTTGGACACATAATAGGAGGTCACTGTGAGGTGGAGGTGACTCGCCCACAGAGAGTTTGAGTTTGTATATAGAACTCAATTCTCTGCCATCGAGTTGGAACCAACTCATACCTGACCTTCCAATGGGTTTTCTCATGCTGTAAATTGCACAGTAGGAGACTTCCCATCTTTGTCCCATGGAGCAGCTGGTAGGTTCGAACTGATGGAGATGCACAGACTTTGGATTAGCAGAGCAATTCACTGCAGACTGTGCCTCCACATCTCCCAGGAATAAAAATAGAAAAGAAATCCAAGACATCAGTTCTCCTTCAGACAGCCTAGTCCTCGTCGAGCATACACAGGCTTATGAAACAAATGAAATGAGTGTGGCTTGGGGGCAGTACACGTTAGTCTTTAAAGTGACATCCTTGATCTTTAAAACTTTAAAGAAGTCCTGAAGGCCATGACTATTAAGGAAGTGATTGCCACATCCTGAAGGTTCAAATAATCACCTCTTTTGTTAACAGCCACTTAACCACTACGTCAAGGAAAGAAATCTCTCTCTAGATCTCTCTCTCTCCCCCATCTATCTATTCACTTATTTGTCCACATATTTATGTATATATCTCTATCTCTATATATATCTATGTTGTGCATACATACATGCACAGGTACAATTATAGAGATGAAGATTAAGGTGCACCTGGTGCAGGCTGTGTTCTCTACAATTACGTCTTGTGCCTCAGAAAGCTGGACAATGAATAGGATGACAGAAGGAGAACTGATGCCTTTGAGCTGTGGTGCTGGAGAAGAGTATTGAATATTCCATGGACTGCCAAGAAAACAAACAGGTTCATCATAGAGAGGGTGAAACCAGGCTACTCCTTGGAGGCAGGGATTCTGAAGCTTCATCTGACATACTTTGGACATGTTGCAAGGAGCAACCAGAACTTGGAGAGGGACGTCATGCTTGGGAGGCTGGAGAGACAGCACAGAAGAGGACAACTCTCAATGAGATGGACTGATATAATGACGAGGATAATGGGGGTGGGTGCTTCAGAGACAATGAGATTGACATAGAGCAGGACAGAGCAGGGTTTAGTGCTGCTGTACATAGGGTCACTATGAGTCACAAGTGACTTGATGGCACATAACAACAACAAAAATATATATACACAGACACACATACATACATATGTATGTATATGTATGTATACACACATACACCTGTGCATGTGTCTGTATTTGGGGAGCTCTGGTGCCCTATTGGTAAGAAGCTTTACTGAAAATATGCAACTTGAATTCACTAGCTGTTCTGCAGAAGAAAGCTGGGATCTCTTCCCCCTTGCAACTTACTGCCTCTCAAAACCTATTAAAGAGTCAACTATGAGTCAGTCCTGACACGATGATACACAGTAACAAAGTACACATACGTAAGATGACAAGGACTGTACATCAGAGCCACCCAGTGTGAGAGAGATTTGATTACACCATAGACTGCAAAGAGCACAGTGAATAAATTGGCCTTAGAAAAAATGTCGCCAGGGTGATATATATATATATATATATATAT